CACAGTTTCCATGAAATTGGTGTTAATGTATTTAGATGGCCGACACACTTTCTGTGCCTCAACTGCTTCCAGTTCAGCTGAGTCATAAACGTATGATGCGAAGTTCTTCGTCTCCACTCTGTATTCTATCATTAACCAATTAGGAGAATCTATGACGTTTGGCATTGGTTAGGGGCAATGTCTCCTCAAGATTACCTGAATTGGACAGTATATTATGCATTCGTCTGACAGTCGACAAAGTACTCTTGACTTCTAGAAAAGAGTTTAATTACGGGTATGTAGTTAATACCGAAACAGTTACCTTGCTCTGCTAACATCTGACAGGTAATTATGAGCCAATGCGGTCAAGGCCTTATGCATTCTTCAACTTCAGAATCCGTTACTTTGCTGTGATACACGCACATGTCATCCGACAGCATCCAATTCCTTGCAACTATAAGGAATTCTTGTCTACCAGGTCTAGTTACCACAGCGTAAGTCTTCTTTTCGTTCTGAAAGAAATAAGTAAATATGATATAAACAAAATTTACAGTCTCATTAGTCTATTTGTCATTGAATACAGGAATGTCGACGGTTGACGCAATCAGTCTAAGCATTTTGTGGAAAAGTATGAGGCAATGGCACTGCTACTTCATACTTGTCTGTACGAATTCAGAAGCACTTACAAATAATATTTGACGGCAGAATTTCTAGCTTGTGTGGGCTTAATTTGGAGCATTTCCATATCCCAATGTGGGATGACTTAAATGGCTGATTGAAGAAATCACAAGCATCTATATAAGGTCTGAATGTTAGTACTTCCTTGTGTATCTGCGTTATGAGACCAGGTTTACCGCAGGCTATAACTAAGTTATCCGGTGAAGATGAAGTGATAACTGTACGCCTGTTGTGAATTATTTGCCTATCTACATCCACTTCACATTCATTTAGAACCTTTTCGTGCAGTGCACCTGATTTGCGGTCGTGAAATACCTTTTCTGCAAATCTTTGTGCCGCCTGCTTAGCTACCACATTGTCAGAATGTATAGAGCGCCTAATTGTCTGCATATAGGATTCAAATGGGAACACCGAAATCGATTCTAAAGGTCCCATTTCATGGACATCTTCTACTAGGTGTTGCAGACAATGATTAATATAAACTAAGCGTTACCTGCCATGAATCACTTCAAACTCATTGAGAAAGTTCAACAACTCATCTCTACAACCTTCCAAGTAATTGCGAAGAAACTTTCTGTGAAACAGGAGGTAAACTGCTAAACTAAGTCTCTGGAAGTTGCAGTATATTCCGGGTGGCATAGTGTCTTTAAGTAATAAAGGTCCTAGGTACAGGAGGAAGATGCGACGTTCAGTGGCCTTCCACCGACTGACTTCGGAGGGCCCCCTACATTTACTCGGGAAGTCCCGGGGTGTCATTCTAGCACAAGTTAATACCTTCCCGTCTATGTTTCCAAGCATGGGCCGGTTTATGTGCATCTCCTTATTTTTAGCTAAGTCTTGCCAGAGACTTTTAAGCTTCCTCACTACCCCTAAATATAATAGGCGCATTGGGTCAAGAGGGAAGCACTTAACCATATCAATGTTTAATTCCTCGTAAACACACTGTCCACGGTGGTGACTTGACTGCATCCTTTGACAGAAGCTATCATCAGTCCGAAATGGAAAACTTCCATTTTCCAATGTCATCCTGACGACAAGTTTTCTTCCGGAAGCCGTGCATTTTTCACAGCCTGCGCTGGCATTATGACCTACTATAAATTTCACGTCCGCTCTAGCCGGTGCAACACGGATGACGGCTGTCAAACGAACGTGGAAGTGCCTGTTCAGTCTGGTAATGTGTGTGCCTTGACTTAATATATCATTTAGCTCAGAAACTAAGTCATTGCATAACTCTTTATAACTGCTCGGTTTGATAGGACCACCGTATATACCTATCAGGAATACACTGATGAGGAGCGGTTCCGTAATTCTACCTAACAAGGGACATAGCTGCTGGTTAGAAGAATTAGAGATGGAAAATCCGTCAACATTCAACTGCAGATCAATCCTGTTGTAGGGCACTTTCAAACACAGACATACACATGCAGTGCTGACAACATCTTTGGAGACCAGTGTCCCAATAAAATCCGAATGCAAGTAGTCTAGAATCCTAAGAGACATATATTCTGAGCACACATCAAACAGTTATCGGGATGAAATGATTGTAGGCGTGCACAGATATAGTAGTATATATTTATTCCTGTTTATGCAGGAACATACCAATTGTACAGGCATGGATAAGTTTTTATATAAATTACACATCTTTCGATGTATGTCTAATTTACAGTTTGTTTGTTCTCTCTGACATTAGAGTCAGTCGGAACAGTCTGCTAAATAGTCTGTCTGTGTAACACATAAAGAGATATAGAAATACTGGCTTCGCATTAACAAAAATCCCAGACATCAGATGAATGTAATACAAATATCTGGGAAAAATAAAGCTTGAAGTCAATTCTCCTATATAACTTTGTTGTGAACAGCATCCTTGAGTTAAAGTTAATTGATGTATTATTTTGAGATAACAGGAAAGAAATTTGATCGTTGATACGAAAATTATATAAAGTCATGTTAGATTGTTTTACTGCATGGAATGAGGCCGAGGTCGATTCTAGAGCTATCCATTGGCGCCATTCGTGTCAGCATGGTAGACTTTATATGTAAGTTGAGTAATACATTGAAAACTGTTTGAAAACCAGTTGCTTCTTTATTTCAGATCAAGAATACTCCTTGTACAGAATGTTGGCCAGCGTTTTCAAATGGTAGCATCGGATCGTTCATGGAATTTGAGTTTGAATTGACTTAAATGGTCATTTCAGTTTAGATGTTGGGTTGTTCGACCTCGACCAGGAGGTATATAGAAGATTACGCTCAGCAGCAGATTAGCAGGGAGATAAAGTATGTAAATATGGAAAGAACATTAATATTTTATGTATATATAAATGTTTATAAATGTATATCATTGTATAGTAAACACTACCCATAATCTAGTTGTTTTTTCATGTATTTTTGCGAAGTCCTAAAGTTTATTTAGTGTCATAATATTTAGTGATGAGTCTAGGCGTTATAGTGTTCTAATAGCTCATGCGTTTTAGAAATAAGTGGTGCGGTGTGATTGGCATAGTCATTTGGATGAAGCAGTTTATATAGCAAGCGTTTGAAGGTTAGAATAGAGAGACAGGTCCTTATTTCTAGGGGTAAACTGTTCCAGATCTTAGAGTACATGACTATGAAGAAGTTTGCACGGAGTGCTGTCTTACAGCTTTTCCTAGATACTGTGCACGTTTGGTTACGAAGGTTGTAAGAGCCTTCCGGTGAGAACCGTATCTCCTTACTGTCTGAGAATGATATTTTATGCAAGATTTTTAGGCAGAATGTTAGGTTAATGCTCAGTCGTCTCATCCAGAGTTCTTTGATACCTAGAGTTATACACCTTGATGTGTAGTCCTTTTCGCAGTCAAATCCTAGTAGTTTAGACGTGAAGTATCGTTGGACACTTTCTATTTTAAGTTTGTCACTTACGCGAGTGCTGCTGAGAATAAATGGACACTATTCAAGTAGTGGTCTGACACAAGTCTTATATAATAATAGTTTCGCCTCGTAGTTGTGGAAATTCCTGAGTGTGCATCCTAAAAGCATCCTCGATTTACGCGTCTGTGTCGCCACTTGCTCAGAAAATGTCAAGTCACTAGAGTAACTGAGTCCTAGGTCAACAACACTTTGGAGTTTAGGCAAGACAAGGGATTCAAGTACCAGTTTAATATTTATTGAGGGTGCAACGAAACAGATCCAACCACATTTTTTAAGGTTGAATTTTAGTTTCCATGTGGAGGACCACGAAGATACCCGACCTAGTACTTCCCGAACAGCATTGTGAAAGTAACCTAAGTGATCAGAGTGGAAAGGGTAGGCTAAATTAAGATCATTTGCAAAGATGAATGGTTTACGAAAAAACATATGAAAATACTCGAGTTGGACTTCCTGAGGTGGCTGTTAAAATATCGATGTGCATTACTTTCCTAGTATAACTTGCAGGACACGTGTGTGTGGTGCATAATCAACTGTATTTTATCCCCATTTATCTATCTCTATGAAGTGAAGTGATTGGTAATTCAGGGCGAGGGTGTGACGTATGAGAACGTTCGTTGTATGTTGGTGAAATTTGATATTTCTGTTGGTGTGAATAGTTAAAGATCGGGTGAAAAGAAAGGCTGTTAATACACACTGATAGAGATTTTATGATATAGGTGGTGGCGATGTGCACATACATCTGCTTTAGTGTAGTCAGTTTTCAATCTCCCGGAGTCTAAGCATGTATACCTTGATTTAGGATTCAATTGGAATTCAGTCGGCGATGGAGGTGCTGGATTAATCACTTCCATCAATGTGGCTGCCCGATGCAATCACCCAACCGAATATGCTCGTCGAGCGTCGGGAGCATCCTCCATCAGCACGTGAGGTGTCGAAAAATCTGTGAATCCAGTTGAACTTCAGACATTTCGTTGTCAACAGTCGACTTGTTCACGTCTACAGATGGGGATCGAACAAGACAGATCTCAGACGTGTGGTAGTGTGGAGGACCCTGAACGTGGTGGCTGCACTGTGTTCAGTTGGCGCACTCTTATAAACCAAGTGAGAATAGCCCGAAGGGCGCACCTGGGAGGGAGACAAGGCTGACGGTGAAACAATGTTACATTGAGGCAGGAGTTATCACGACGGATCACTGACTCATGTAGTCGACTCCCTGAAGAAGTTATATCTCCACCTCGAAGTGATTCATTCACGAGGCGGTTGGATGAACACGGGTATCTGACTGAAGTCGATTGACAGAGGCTCTTATCATTCCAGTCCTAGAGCGGGGATTTTAATCGTAATCCGTGAATCACAAGAAACATTTGATGTCAACATATGTCGTTATGCTGTACACAGGTGAAAAAAGATCCACTGAGGAAAAGAACAGTATGAAGATGTAATCTCATTGTGATCATTTTCACTGAATTTCGACAACGCCATGTGTTCATTGAATATCTCCGTTTGTTTGTTTACTTGATTCACAATATAAGTGGCGCATAGTAGGGCGGCAATTCGCTTGTTGGACTTTGCAGCTGGTCCACTGGGTCGGTTGATGTGCTCTCCATTGCGTGTAAGTTGTCGAGAGTTTCGAGCATATGGACATATTTTTTCTGGACGTGGTGATGACACAGACTTCAATCTCTATGACAGTCATACCCTAGTTATCGAGCGGTGTGAATTTGGGAATCATTCATTGTAACGACAATGTCGGAAGTTGTTAATTCCTCATGGGACACCAGATCACTCCATCTGGCTAAACGTCTTCATGGGAAGCATAAATGTTGGGCAGCAGGCAGACAGGAGCACCAGCCATCAAATGTTTCGACGGTGGTCAGGTCCCGACAAAGTTTCAGTACCAGTGGTTTTCGAGGAATATCAGCAGTGTCTGTTCGTTGGGTCTAGCCCAACATAATTAACCCACCATTAAATGGTAAATTTTCACGGATATCTGTGTGTGCACTCGTATACACAGATTTCGGAGACTACCTATACGGATGTTTCTACATGTATGCACATTGGAGGGATCAAAGCCATTAACTGTTCCGAAGGGAAACCTCACTAATTCACTGAATGTGATAACTCAGTCAATTCGCATTGACAGAACCGTCACTATGGCACTTTATGCTTGGTGTGGGCTAGCAAATAAGTAGAAAGCTGACAGAGAGGAGTACATTGGTTCTTGCAAAGGACATGTGGTCATGATTGTTTGCACTCAGTGTTCAACCTCATTGATCCTTCTCCAAGATGCCATCCACCACTTTCACTTTGAAGGGCCTTGTCAATTGTCCCTCTTCCTCATCGAGATTGGCAGTGAACTACTAGCTAGTCAAATCACTGCACACTTGACTGATTCTACATTTCTTTCGCTCTTCATCCAAATCTTATCACAGTGCTCCCTTCACTCTGCATTCGTTGGCTAGATAGGCACTTGCAGTTAATTTGTTGTGCTTTTTGACTACTTGAGTGTGTTGAAAGTGAATATTTGAATCTGCTTCTTGAAACGAATGAATAGCTCCACTCCGTCATTGCTCCTTCAGACATCTTGCCTCAGGTGTTTTCATCAAGTGCCCTGCGCACTTAAGTCTCAGTGTGTGTCTCGGTCAACAGGCGTAAGTGAAACAACGTTTGGAGCATGTGAAGTAGCTCCTCGGACGAGTTTGTTTAATTTCACCATAACAGACTGAATGTTTAGTGCACATTTTCATCCAATGTCCAGTGAAGTTAGAATTCAGCTATCTGGAAGACGTCTTTCACGTAGTAACTATGTTATGGGACGAAAGGATTGTAGGAGTGGGGGAGAGAGACCTGAATACACTACCTAGATTTTCAGGTGGAAGCAGTTGGAGCAGGAATCCATGGAGACGCCCACGGGTTGTAGTCGTAGTCCTCACTCACATGAACACCTGCATATCCACTTCTTCGTCTCGTATGTGGCTGTTCGTGATACAGACGTTTCAGAAGGGAAACGTCACCTGTGATGCTTTCACAGCAACCGTCACATCTGATAATACTCGAGTTGGACTTCCTGAGGTGGCTGTTAAAATATCGATGTGCATTACTTTCCTAGTATAACTTGCAGGACACGTGTGTGTGGTGCATAATCAACTGTATTTTATCCCCATTTATCTATCTCTATGAAGTGAAGTGATTGGTAATTCAGGGCGAGGGTGTGACGTATGAGAACGTTCGTTGTATGTTGGTGAAATTTGATATTTCTGTTGGTGTGAATAGTTAAAGATCGGGTGAAAAGAAAGGCTGTTAATACACACTGATAGAGATTTTATGATATAGGTGGTGGCGATGTGCACATACATCTGCTTTAGTGTAGTCAGTTTTCAATCTCCCGAAGTCTAAGCATGTATACCTTGATTTAGGATTCAATTGGAATTCAGTCGGCGATGGAGGTGCTGCATTAATCACTTCCATCAATGTGGCTGCCCGATGCAATCACCCAACCGAATATGCTCGTCGAGCGTCGGGAGCATCCTCCATCAGCACGTGAGGTGTCGAAAAATCTGTGAATCCAGTTGAACTTCAGACATTTCGTTGTCAACAGTCGACTTGTTCACGTCTACAGATGGGGATCGAACAAGACAGATCTCAGACGTGTGGTAGTGTGGAGGACCCTGGACGTGGTGGCTGCACTGTGTTCAGTTGGCGCACTCTTATAAACCAAGTGAGAATAGCCCGAAGGGCGCACCTGGGAGGGAGACAAGGCTGACGGTGAAACAATGTTACATTGAGGCAGGAGTTATCACGACGGATCACTGACTCATGTAGTCGACTCCCTGAAGAAGTTATATCTCCACCTCGAAGTGATTCATTCACGAGGCGGTTGGATGAACACGGGTATCTGACTGAAGTCGATTGACAGAGGCTCTTATCATTCCAGTCCTAGAGCGGGGATTTTAATCGTAATCCGTGAATCACAAGAAACATTTGATGTCAACATATGTCGTTATGCTGTACACAGGTGAAAAAAGATCCACTGAGGAAAAGAACAGTATGAAGATGTAATCTCATTGTGATCATTTTCACTGAATTTCGACAACGCCATGTGTTCATTGAATATCTCCGTTTGTTTGTTTACTTGATTCACAATATAAGTGGCGCATAGTAGGGCGGCAATTCGCTTGTTGGACTTTGCAGCTGGTCCACTGGGTCGGTTGATGCGCTCTCCATTGCGTGTAAGTTGTCGAGAGTTTCGAGCATATGGACATATTTTTTCTGGACGTGGTGATGACACAGACTTCAATCTCTATGACAGTCATACCCTAGTTATCGAGCGGTGTGAATTTGGGAATCATTCATTGTAACGACAATGTCGGAAGTTGTTAATTCCTCATGGGACACCAGATCACTCCATCTGGCTAAACGTCTTCATGGGAAGCATAAATGTTGGGCAGCAGGCAGACAGGAGCACCAGCCATCAAATGTTTCGACGGTGGTCAGGTCCCGACAAAGTTTCAGTACCAGTGGTTTTTGAGGAATATCAGCAGTGTCTGTTCGTTGGGTCTAGCCCAACACAATTAACCCACCATTAAATGGTAAATTTTCACGGATATCTGTGTGTGCACTCGTATACACAGATTTCGGAGACTACCTATACGGATGTTTCTACATGTATGCACATTGGAGGGATCAAAGCCATTAACTGTTCCGAAGGGAAACCTCACTAATTCACTGAATGTGATAACTCAGTCAATTCGCATTGACAGAACCGTCACTATGGCACTTTATGCTTGGTGTGGGCTAGCAAATAAGTAGAAAGCTGACAGAGAGGAGTACATTGGTTCTTGCAAAGGACATGTGGTCATGATTGTTTGCACTCAGTGTTCAACCTCATTGATCCTTCTCCAAGATGCCATCCGCCACTTTCACTTTGAAGGGCCTTGTCAATTGTCCCTCTTCCTCATCGAGATTGGCAGTGAACTACTAGCTAGTCAAATCACTGCACACTTGACTGATTCTACATTTCTTTCGCTCTTCATCCAAATCTTATCACAGTGCTCCCTTCACTCTGTATTCGTTGGCTAGATAGGCACTTGCAGTTAATTTGTTGTGCTTTCTGACTACTTGAGTGTGTTGAAAGTGAATATTTGAATCTGCTTCTTGAAACGAATGAATAGCTCCACTCCGTCATTGCTCCTTCAGACATCTTGCCTCAGGTGTTTTCATCAAGTGCCCTGCGCACTTAAGTCTCAGTGTGTGTCTCGGTCAACAGGCGTAAGTGAAACAACGTTTGGAGCACGTGAAGTAGCTCCTCGGACGAGTTCGTTTAATTTCACCATAACAGACTGAATGTTTAGTGCACATTTTCATCCAATGTCCAGTGAAGTTAGAATTCAGCTATCTGGAAGACGTCTTTCACGTAGTAACTATGTTATGGGACGAAAGGATTGTAGGAGTGGGGGAGAGAGACCTGAATACATTACCTAGATTTTCAGGTGGAAGCAGTTGGAGCAGGAATCCATGGAGACGCCCACGGGTTGTAGTCGTAGTCCTCACTCATATGAACACCTGCATATCCACTTCTTCGTCTCGTATGTGGCTGTTCGTGATACAGACGTTTCAGAAGGGAAACGTCACCTGTGATGCTTTCACAGCAACCGTCACATCTGATAATACTCGAGTTGGACTTCCTGAGGTGGCTGTTAAAATATCGATGTGCATTACTTTCCTAGTATAACTTGCAGGACACGTGTGTGTGGTGCATAATCAACTGTATTTTATCCCCATTTATCTATCTCTATGAAGTGAAGTGATTGGTAATTCAGGGCGAGGGTGTGACGTATGAGAACGTTCGTTGTATGTTGGTGAAATTTGATATTTCTGTTGGTGTGAATAGTTAAAGATCGGGTGAAAAGAAAGGCTGTTAATACACACTGATAGAGATTTTATGATATAGGTGGTGGCGATGTGCACATACATCTGCTTTAGTGTAGTCAGTTTTCAATCTCCCGAAGTCTAAGCATGTATACCTTGATTTAGGATTCAATTGGAATTCAGTCGGCGATGGAGGTGCTGCATTAATCACTTCCATCAATGTGGCTGCCCGATGCAATCACCCAACCGAATATGCTCGTCGAGCGTCGGGAGCATCCTCCATCAGCACGTGAGGTGTCGAAAAATCTGTGAATCCAGTTGAACTTCAGACATTTCGTTGTCAACAGTCGACTTGTTCACGTCTACAGATGGGGATCGAACAAGACAGATCTCAGACGTGTGGTAGTGTGGAGGACCCTGGACGTGGTGGCTGCACTGTGTTCAGTTGGCGCACTCTTATAAACCAAGTGAGAATAGCCCGAAGGGCGCACCTGGGAGGGAGACAAGGCTGACGGTGAAACAATGTTACATTGAGGCAGGAGTTATCACGACGGATCACTGACTCATGTAGTCGACTCCCTGAAGAAGTTATATCTCCACCTCGAAGTGATTCATTCACGAGGCGGTTGGATGAACACGGGTATCTGACTGAAGTCGATTGACAGAGGCTCTTATCATTCCAGTCCTAGAGCGGGGATTTTAATCGTAATCCGTGAATCACAAGAAACATTTGATGTCAACATA